ATAACATCCAATAGTATAAATTTAAACGTATTTATAATTATTCTAAAACAATCTAACACTATCTACGCATTTCACATATTAAAGTTAAAACTGTATTTTCTTCAAATATAATGTATACTGTCTTTTTCAGCACTGGAAAGTGAAGCGTACAAATTTTCTTTTTATGAAAAGGGGCTTGCAATTAATCTGTAAACAAAACCATTTTTCTTTACTTTTCAAAATTCTCCTATAATATTAATTGATTAAATGTCATATGAGACAAGGTCAAGCGGAAACAAATCCTTTGATTAATGTATCAAAAATTGGTTAATTGCTATCTAGAAGTTAAGTGCAAAACTTTCTCTTCTGAGTTATACATGGAATTACATGTATCCATGTTATCAAGTTGCAGATGTCCCCTGACAACAGAGGCACAAGTCAAAAAAATTATCTGTTAAGGACATGATACAAACTATTGTCAAGAATTTGAAAATGACAACTTGGGTCATGTTTCAATGAATAAAATGAATAACTTTCACCGCGTGGCTTTTAATTTTTTATTCAAATTTGGACAAAAATAGAATTAAAGTGAAAATTACTTGTAAAGATTAATAAGGATGGTTTCAGAATGGCAGACTTTTGTACTTCACAGAAGGTTTACGTGTTCAATTTCTTTATATTCTAGAAATTTATTATTTGAATCATTTACAATGAAATTAGGGCAAAACTTATATACAAATCCAGGCTTCTATTTTTTGTTTGTATCAACTGTCCTTAAGCATTAATAAATAATTCTTATTCATCTTCTGTACAATAGGAAAAAAAGTCGTAAAACCCCTTCAAAATATTTACTCCGGACGATAGACATGCCGCTCTGCATTATAAGAGATCTCATTTATACATTATAATGTAATATATTGTCACCGCGTTTTTTTTCCCAATGTACAATGTCCCAAGTCCATCCCTGATCTTTCATTTCTTTTTCAACTGACTGTCGCCATGTCTTTTTGGTAGCCCTCTGATTCTCTTTACTGGTGTAGTCCATCTTATTTTTAGTTCATTGTTATATACATTATCGAATAAACAGCACCTTTGATTTTCTTGAAATTTGTAGATATGGAAAGTGGTGATTTTTTCTTGTTTGTTGCTATGGCAACGGTTTCACTATTTAAAGAAAAATTGAAAAATATCTCCCTTCTACATGTACCCATTTTTTTCTCAGTTTTTATCAAAAGCGTAAACTGCTCCAACCCAGATCATAGCAGTCTAATTTGGGTTGTTATTTAATTCATTCCTTATTATTTAATTTTCAATTATTTCGTACATATAGAACAAGATAATTTCCCTTTTAAAATGCCTTCAAATAGTTCATATTTTAAACGGAAAGTCACTCTCCAAAGGCTCAATTGAGCTTTTCTGTCGCTGTCGTCGTTGTTGTTGTTTTTGCAAACTTTTCACATTTCTATTTTCTTCTCAAGAACCACTTGGAAAATTTTAAGCAAACTTCCTACAAAATATTCTTGGGTTAAGGGGATTTAGATTTCTTCAAATGAAGGACCAAGTCCTTTTCCAAGGGGAATATTTATAAATTGGAGAAAAATTAATGACATTTAAAAAAAAATCTTCTCAATAACCACCTGACCAGGAAAGATGAAACTCAAGTGGAATCATCCTTAGGTTGTGTAGATTCAAGTTTGTTCAAATCATAACCCCCAGGGGTAGGGTGGAGCTACAAAGGCTGATATAGATTTACATATATGTAGGAATATATAGAAATAATCTTTAAAAATCTTGTTTTCAAGAACCATTGGGCAAGGTAAGACGAAACTCATGTTGAATCATACTCAGGTAGTGTCAATTCAAAGTTGTTCAAATCATGACCCCCAGGGATAGGATGGGGCCAAAATTGCCGATCAAAGTTTTACATAGGAATATATATGGAGAAACTTTTAAAATGTTCTTTCCAATTACTTCTACGCTAGGATTAGTGTATTTATATGGAATCATCCTCAGGTAGTGTAGATTCTAGTTTGTTCAAATCATGACCTCCTGGGGTAAGGTAGGGCTACAATGGCTGATCAAAATTTACGTAGGAATAAATAGGAAAAATCTTTCAAAATTTTCTTCTCAAAAAGAATTGAGACAGGAAAGATAAGAATCATGGAAAATTATCCTCAGGTTGTGTAGATTCCAGTATGTTCAAATCATGATCCCCAGGGGTAGGCTGGGGCCAAAATGTACGATGAAAATTTTACGAAAGGATACATAGGGACATCATTTTAAGAATCATCTTCTCAAGTTCTTCAATTCATTCAAAAGCCATGATTAGTGATAGTTATATGGAATCATCCTCAGATAGTGTAGATTCTAGTTTGTTCATATCATAACCGCCAGAAATAGGGTGAAACCACAATGAGGAATTCAAGTTTTACATTAGAATATAAATATGTCAGTTTTGATCTGAAGTGTGCTCAGGTGAGCGATTTGGCCCTTGGCCTCTTGTACAATTCAGATTATTTTTTAATAAAATTAAATTATAGGACATTAATTGCCGGTAAAATCAGTAAAATATTTAATTTTCGTTGCAGGGTGTTTTAAACTGTAAAATATCAAAGCATGGCTTCTGGGCCAGACCCTGGTGACCGTTCCAGGTTTGCCAAACTAGGAATGGCAATAAACGAAGAATTGTCCCAGGCCTGTAGAGATGTCTTAGAAATGGAGGTACCTCCTGGTCTTGTCTACAACAAAGTTAAATCATCATCGATTTATAAGAAAATACGCCACGAACAAGAACTTCTCCTCTTAAGCGCCAAAGCAGATGGTTATAAAGATTTTGACATTACATTGTTATATACACTGATCAGAAACATATGTACAAAGATTCCACTTCCCACAAAGGGTTGGGGTGGAAACGCGATGCCGTCAGTCGGAGAAACAACGATCGGCGACGACATTGAGAGGATCAGGATGATAAGAAATAACATGTTTGGACACATCAGCTCGGCTTCTATCCCACGGTCAGATTTTGATGACACGTGGTCTCTCATAATTGATATCTGCCAACGACTGCAAACGTTCACAAAGAAGAACTACATGTATGGACTTAGTAATATTCAAAGTCAGGCCTTGGAAGAGGAGTACGAATTAACGGTCATAGAAAAACTAAAAGAAGATTATAAGAATAATCAATGTGTTATGGAAATAATATCTTCTTTGGAACAGAATTTGCTAGAATTGAAAACAAATTCCGAAAACAAAGGTGACTAAAATTAATATAAGTCTTATTAAGTATATATATAGTGTACGTTATATGACGGAGATTAGTGATTTTTATGCTAACATAAATTTGACAAATACATTTCTCATTATTAGTATTTTCGAAAATGTTTCCTGAAAATTCATTGCAAATTAAACAAATGTGGCTGAGGAAGAATATTCCCATTATGATCTCCATGATACCGTACTAAATGTCAGAACTATAATGCAAAATATCCAAACTAAAGTGCAAATTGTGCAAACTATAGTGAAAGCTGGGCAAAATATAGTGCAAACTGTCCAAATTATAGTGCAAAAGAAATCGTTATTTGGCATAAATATTCGGTTTGTCATCAGGTAAAGAGTGTAAATATACAATATGAATTTAATCTTTAGAAATTCTAGAGGAACGATAACGCTTTTGGCTTGTATATGTCAAATGCAATTATTAGAAGGGCCCTTAGACGCCCTTTTATTCAAACCTCTTCTATATGAGGAAACTTTTACCGGACATTTTTACTTCCCTGTTGTTTGACCTAATTAAGCATTATATATATTGCCTAGTTTACCACTAGATATATAGCCATACTTCCCCCATTTGTGGGTCTTTCACTTTCAATTTCGCTTTTACAAGTACAATTATCAATCTCCAGAGATTCAAAATTCTAAATTTACAACATGTTTCGCCGTACGTTCAATTAGCTGCATTTCTGTCTATTTGAGAAGAAAACAACAATTTCCGAAAATATTTGAAAACTTTTTTAGCGCTTGCAATAAAATATTTTATTTTGTATGCGTTAGATAATTACGCCGTACTCATATTTTTTCTATATTATGACATTTTTTCCCCTACATTTATATTTTTAATTTGGGATTCAGCACATATACATACAAGAAAGTAATTAATTTTAGATGAAAATTATAAAGTTTTACGAAATATTTTCCCATTTTTTGCTTCTTAAACTTTTTTCTTTTTGAAAGGACATATCTTTTACAGAAAACACACTGGTAAAAGAAATTTTCGACCACTGGAGAGAAGAGGACATTGCCTTCATTCCTACAAGAGCAAGTAAAGTGGTTGAGGGAAAGCTTAAAAGTCAAAACCTAATCACGGTGGTTGGAAATTCTGGTTCCGGAAAATCTGCAATAATTCAACATATGCACTCATTCTGAAAGAGCGGGGATGGAATGTAAAACCGGTGGATAAGGTTAAAGAGATAAAAAAGATCTGTTCAACCGAAGTCTCAGACCGGATATTATTTGTATTCAATGATCCCTTGGGTAAAGAATCTGTAGATGAAATTTTATATCATTCATGGAAAAGTTTAGAGCAGTCGCTGGACATTTGCTTGAAGAAAAATAAAATATTGATATCATGTAGAAGATGCGTATTTTATGACAAGAGGATTAGGGGTATCTTACTGGACGAGTCCACAGCAGTAGAAATTGATAACGAAACAAACGGACTGACGGTTAAAGAGAAAAAAGCGATTTTCAAACAGTATTCACACAGTCTAAATATATCCGAAGCTTACTTTCCATTGCTTTGTAAGCTATTTTCAAGGGAGGCAAACTACAAAGGAAAAGGGGTTGATTTCTTTAAATATCCGTACAGATTTACTAAAAAGGAAATTGAAGTTTGGAAGAAAACAGACAAAAAAAGATTTTGCTCACTTATTTTGTTAGTAGCCTTTAAAAACGTGTTGAAAATCGAAACTATTGTAAGAAATAATATTTTTTTGAGGAAATTTAGGGATATTTTAGGAATGCGTGAGCTTCAAGAAAACACACATATTTCAGTCATTCGTAGTACTCTAAATGAACTGAGAGGATCTTATGTCAAACGTGTCGGAAATGCTTTCCAATTTCTTCACGACTTTATAATGGAGATAACGACTCTGGTATTTGGTGTTGATTGTCCACAAGAGACAATTCAGTACGCGGATAGTGGTTTTCTGAGACGTCGAGTGAAGATAGAAGGCGACACAGAAGAGGAAGATCGCGATCCCTTCACTGTTTACCTTCCTACAGAGTACATAGGTGATCTTGTAGACAGGTTTATCATTGACATGCAAACAGAACATCTTGTAGATGTTCTACTAAATCCATGTTTAAGGGAAAAAAGTGTTATCGCATCTTTTACAGAAAAAGTGGACTCGCCCGGAATGCTTCTTGTAAAAATTAAATTTAAGAAAGAGGGATCGGAATTGAACATATCATTTGAGAGGTCTTTTATCTCAAGACTTCTTTTCCTTTATTTGCAAGTTGAAATATGTCCTTTGGTCGGACTAATCGTATTTTATAACAATGAAATTTCTTTATTTTTCTTAAAAGGTATCCCTGAAACAAAATTGATGGAATATCCTATATTTTCAGCTCTTTGTGCGAATGGCGATTTAAACCTAATGAATCATCTAAGCGATGAACATAAACGAGCAGGAATGATGGAAACATGGGTAATCATGTTCCCAATTCATGTTGCTTCAATATTTAATAATTTTTTGATAATTTAGGAATTAGTAAGATTCGGTTTTGATATACACAAGTTCGCCACTCAGTGGAATTTATTACTATTAGCTTGTATGAATGGAGAAAAGAACTTGAAGATAGCTGCAATAAAAACAGACACAAGTGAAGAAGAAAGACGTAATTGAACCATTATTTGCTTATTGAAATATGGTGCAGACATCAATTTGGATGCTGAAGTCAGTCCTCTTTATATAGCTTGTCAAAATGGACAGTATAGCACTGTACAACTGCTACTACAAAGCAGTGCCGACATCAATTTATGTTGCAATGATGGGATCAGTCCTCTTTTTATAGCTTGTCAAGAAGGACACGATAGCACAGTACAACTGTTACTGAACAAGGGTGCCGACATCAATTTATGTGATAATGAAGGAATCAGTCCTCTTCATATAGCTAGTTATGGTGAACATTATACATTGGTACAACTCTTACTGAACAACGGTGTCGACATCAATTTACGTGAGAAGAATGGAAACAGTCCTCTCCATATGTCATGTCAAAAGGGACGTGAAAGCACGGTTCAATTGTTACTGAACAACGGTGCCGACATCAATTTATGTGATATTGATGGAGACAGTTCTCTTTATATAGCTTGTCATGAAGGACTTGATAGCACGGTACAACTCTTACTAAACTACGGTGCCGATATCAATTTATGTAACAAGAACGGGATCAGTCCTCTTTTGATATCGTGTCGTGATGGATATGAAAAAACAGTACAGTTGTTACTGAACAACGGTGCCAACATCAATTTATATGAGAATTATGGAGCCAGTCCTCTTATTATAGCTTGTCAAAATGGACATGAAAGCACGGTTCAACTATTACTAAACAACTGTGCCGATATTCATTTATGTGGTAATGATGGAGACAGTCCTCTTTATATAGCTTGTCAAAATAAACATGATAGCACGATACAACTGTTACTAAACAATGGTGCTGACATCAATTTATGTGATAATAATGGAGACAGTCCTCTTCTTGTAGCTTGCTTGAAAGGACATGACAGCACGATACAACTGTTACTGAACAACGGTGCCGAGATAAATTTATTTGATAACGGTGGGTTCAGTCCTCTTTTTGTATCTTGTCAGGAAGGACATGATAACGCTGTACAACTCTTACTGAACAACGGTGCCGATATTCATTTATGTAACAAGAGTGGTGCCAGTCCTCTTTATATAACTTGTCAAGAAGGATATGGTAGCATGCCCCTAATGTAGATTTTCCAAAGGGTTTGGAAAAGTTTTGGAATTCCATGGAATTCCAATCATTTCTATACCAAACTCGAAAAAAGTGTCTGGAAGTTTTTGGAATATTTTGGAATTTAGAAAAAAAATTGGACTTTATATTTTTTGGTTAGGAAAGTAGTGGAAATCTTTGGAAAAAATGATAAAATGAAAATCTTAGCCATTTTCTGCGCTGGAAAACTGTGGAAAATTACTTAGAATTTTTTTTAACTGTTCGACTAATAGTGCAATAACATCGGGATCGAAGTCGGGCTCGATGAACAATCAATTTAAACAACTCGCCGAAATTCAAAAATATCGAATTCCATGTTGATCATGTTGATGTTGCATGGAAGAGAAGTTGGAAAGAGAGTGTCTAGAACAGGGGAATCATAAGTAGCAGTGGATGGAAGAAGAGGAAGACATTTTAAGACCCGGTAGGTACAATATTGGACAGTATTTTTATGTGTCCTTGAATGAAGAACGCTTCTGCTTCTGTTCATTAGCCTGCACACCACACATAAACTGCCCGACGGTGAAATCGTTGGTGCACTATTTCAATATTGTAATAATTATTTAACAACTCTAAACATCTCATTATTATCATGGATTTTAACCCGAATTTCCTCGTTTGGGATCGAACTCGTAAAGAATTTTACATACACGTTCCTTTGTTCAAGTCAAGATAACATTTACAGAGTATGATGTACAATGTAATTAATTATATATATTTGAAGGCGTGTTCATGATAATTTTCAGCTCTTATTTTAATTATTTTGTACAGTAGCTGTTGCTGCATTGTGCCTGAGATGACCCCCTCAGCGCTGGCGTTTGATAACTTGGTGGATGTAGATGCTTAGCCAGTCAGTCACTAGGCTTGTGAATATGGTGAGAACGAGCGCAAATTATCGCTCAAACCAAGTAAACTAACTTTGATTTTATTGATCCATGTCTATTAGCATAATAATATGTTCTACGGTGCGACCGTTGGGGCGAGCGCAGTTATTTACTTTGAAAAACCTTTATACAGATTTTACTTGCACTCCCTATCCTCAGTTCTTTAAAAAAGAAGAACAGAATAACAAGTCAATTCCCAGGCATCGGGATCGAGATTCCGAACTTTCGGAAGATTCCTACAAAATCCGAAATACTTGAGATGTTTAAGTGACGAAAGTATGACGTCAAATAAAAAGTCCTGTTGACTCTGAACGCAAATGATAGTTTTCTGGCTTGGAGATTGCAATAAATCGTTGTTTGTAATTTTTAGCTCACCTGAGCTGAAATCTCAAGTGAGCTTTTCTGATCACATTTTGTCCGGCGTCCGTCTGTCTGTCCGTCTGTCTGTCCGTTTGTCTGTAAACTTTTCACATTTTCGACTTCTTCTGAAGAACCGCTAGGCCAGTTTCAACCAAACTTGCCACAAAGTATCCTTGGGTGAAGGGGATTCAAGTTTGTTCAAGTGAAGGGCCACGCCCTCATTCAAGGGGAGATAATTGGGAATTAATGAAAATTTGGTTGTATGTTTTAAAAATCTTCTTCTCAAGAACCACTGTGCCGGGAAAGATGAAACTTAAGTGGAAACATCCTCAGGTAGTGTAGATTCAAGTTTGTTCAAATCATGACCCCCGGGGCAAGGGCGGGGCCAAAATGGCCGACCAAAGTTTTACATAGAAATATATAGGAAAATTCTTTAAAAATCTTCTTCTCAAGAATGACAAAGCCATAATACATCATATTTATATGGAAGCATGCTCAGGTAGTATAGATTCAAGTTTGTTCAAATCATGACCCCCGGGGGTAGGGCGGGGCCAAAATGGCTGACCAAATTTTTACATAGAATTATATAGGAAAATTCTTTAAAAATCTTCTTCTCAAGAATGACAAAGCCATAATACATCATATTTATATGGAAGCATGCTCAGGTAGTATAGATTCAAGTTTGTTCAAATCATACCCAGGGGGGGGGGGGGGTAGGGCGGGGCCAAAATGGCCGACCAAAGTTTTACATAGAAATATATAGGAAAATTCTTTAAAAATCTTCTCCTCAAGAATGACAAAGCCATAATTCATCATATTTATATGGAAGCATGCTCAGGTAGTGTAGGTTCAAGTTTGTTCAAATCATGACCCCCGGGGGTAGGGCGGGGCCAAAATGGCTGACCAAAGTTTTACATAGAAATATATAGGAAAATTCTTTAAAAATCTTCTTCTCAAGAATGACAAAGCCATAATTCATCATATTTGTATGGAAGCATGCTCAGGTAGTGTAGGTTCAAGTTTGTTCAAATCATGACCCCCGGGGGTAGGGCGGGGCCAAAATGGCTGACCAAAGTTTTACATAGAAATATATAGGAAAATTCTTTAAAAATCTTCTTCTCAAGAATGACAAAGCCATAATTCATCATATTTATATGGAAGCAAGCTCAGGTAGTGTAGATTCAAATTTGTTCAAATCATGACCCCCGGGGGAAGGGCGGGGCCGACTAATATTTTTAAAGATTATATAGGAAAATTCTTTAAAAATCATTTACTTACAAATAGCAAATCCATGATTGCTCATGGGACTACTTATGGATATAAACTTTACAATAAAAAGCCATTTTCTTCTTTTTCCTACCCTTAGTGCTCAGGTGAGCGATGTGGCCCATGGGCCTCTTGTTTCAAGTAAGTTGTTGCTATGTTTTACATGTTTTAGCGACCATGTTGCTATTCACCGCAAAGGATTATTGGGAGTTTGGAATTTTTTTAACGCTGCGAGATAAAAATTTCTTGGAACAATGTGCAGATTTCAACCCAAATTTCCTCCGTTCGTACACGTTAGTATATTGAGCTCGCTACATGAGCGTCGCTTCACGATGCTCGCTATTAAAAAAAATTATTGCAACTTTGCCAAGCAAACAAAATTTAAAGGCTTATATTCTTAACATGCTTAAATTCCTTATTTTAATAATTTATAACAATGCATTCTGACAGGTAAATCTAAACATGAAAACTGCACAGACATGCCTAATTATTTTAGATCAAATAGCAATCATCTACTATGAAGTATACATGCATTTTACAGGAATCCGGATGCTCACAAGGACAAGAGGTGTATGAAAAGAAAACATAAAGGTAAGATTTCTGAATTATTTTCTAAATCAATAAAATCACATGAATTGAAATTATCTTTTTCAGTGTTAGTTAGGCATTGAGCTTGAGCTCAAACCTTTTTGTTTTAGCTTACCTGAACCATTTTAAGGCCTAAGTGAATTTTTTGATTAGTGTCTGATGTTGTCTGTCATTTATAAACTTTTCACATTTATACATTTATCAGAATTAATCCTAATTTGAACAAAAAATTCCAAGATCGTGCATTTATTCATATTCCATAGTAAACTGATTTGCCAGGTCAAAAAAAAAAATCAACTGTTTTGTATAGCTTTTGTTTATTATTTGTCATATATTTATATGGATATCAATAATGATGCATCGTAATGGTCATCTTTTTCTTTCAGAAATTGTGTAAGGAAGGATAGTTTGAAGTGTCTGTTGGAATGATCAACATCGAACTTTCTGAGCCTTCGTACTGAAAGTGAATCCGTTCGTGACACCAATTAACTGTCAACATTCTAACATAACCACTTACTAATTTCATGGAATATCAGTGAGGAAGTGATTCTCTAGCAAACACGTCAGAAGTTTTGGATCTTCATTAATTGGGATCTTTGGCACATACGTTTGGGGGAAATAGCATCTGTTGATTTTATGAGATCATTGTATCAATATAGTTGTGTAGTACATATTTTTTGCATGTGTTTACATGTGTTTGTCACACTAGTCGATAACTTGTACCAGTACATAAGCATGATAAGCCACTGGCAGTTCATTGTAAATGTATAGCCTGTTGAGATTTCAATGATCATTCCAATTCCATGGTCAATTTCATTTAATAAAACTAAATTCTTATTTTAGAAAATGCAGATTGGAGTTTACTAAATTCATGTATATCATAACATGATTATTTTAATTTAACCAAGGTGACTGATTCTCCAGTAATCATATTTTTTCTGTAAATAACCTTTAATGTAAAATGCTTTCCGTGAGAATACTTTATGAAAGTGTGCTTATATTGTACATCTGAGAGTTATATGCAATATTTGTCTCAAAAAACATTGTAAAAGAAACAATAAATTTTTTATTTTAAAAATATAGATTTGATCTATGAAACATTAAGATGTTATCTAGTTTTTTTTTTGGTAACTATTTGGCACTAATTATTTCAGTTTTCATTGTACATGTATTTGGAATTTGGAATCCTGGAATTCCATGGATTTCCATGGAATTCCTTAGTTTTACAAATATCCTGGAATTCCATGAATTTCCTCCGCAAATTTCCATTCTGGCATTGTTCCGCTCTTTTCCAGGCTAGATTCAAAATTCCAAATCATTCCGAAAAAAGTTCCGTCCCAATACTCCGGAGAATTCTAAAGAATTCCGCGGAACAAAAATTCCATGGAATTCCATGGAATATGCTTTGGAATTCCATGGAAGTTGCGGAAAATCTACATTAGGGGTACAACTGTTACTGAACAAGGGTGCCGATATCAATTTATGTACCAACGATGGGGCCAGTCCTCTTTACATTGCTTGTCAAAATGGACATGATAACACGGTACAACTATTACTGAACAACGGTGCCGACATCAACTTTTGTGATAATAATGGAGCCAGTCCCCTTTTAATAGCTTGTCAAAATGGACATGATAGCACGGTGCAACTGTTACTGAATAATGGTGTCGACATAAATTTAAGTGACAAGAATGGATTCAGTTTTCTCTTAATAGCTTGTCAAGATGGACATGATAGCACAGTACAACTATTACTAAACAACAGTGCCGATATTAATTTATGTGATAATGATGGATTCAGTCCTCTTCATATAGCTTGTCAAAATGGACATGATAGCACGGTACAACTGGTACTGAACAGCGGTGTCGACATCAATTCATGTACAAACAATGGAGTCAATCCTCTTCATCTAGCTTGTCAAAATGGACATGATAGCATGGTACAACTCTTACTGAACAACGATGCCAACATCAATTTAAGTAATAATGATGGATTGAGTCCCTTTTATATAGCTTGTCAAAATGGATATGATACCACAGTACAGCTGTTACTGAACAATGGTGCTGACATCAATTTATGTGACAAGAATGGTATCAGTCCTCTTTATATAGCTTGTCACAATGGACATGATAGCACGGCGCAACTATTACTGAACAACGGTGCCGACATCGGTTTCTGAGACAAGAACGGAAACAGTCCACTTTTCATAGCTTGTCATTAAGGACATGATAGCACGGTGCAATTATTAATAAGCAACGGTGCCGATATCAATTCACGTCGCAAGAATTGTACCAGTCCTCTTCATATAGCTTGTCAAAAGGAATCAGTCCCCTTATTATTGCTTGCGATATCAATTCATGTAGCAATAGTGGATCAAGTCCTGTTTATATAGCGTGTCAGGAAGGAAATGAAAGCAATGTACAGCTGCTGTTGAACAAAGATGCCAACATCAATTTATGTAATCAGAATGGAGCAAGCCCTCTTTTTGTAGCTTGTCAAAATGGACATGATAGTACAGTCCAACTGTTACTGAACAATGGTGCCGATATCAATTTATGGCACAACAATGGAGCTAGCCCTCTTTATATAGCCTCTATAAACGGGCATGATAGCACGGTACAACTGTTACTGAACAACGGTGCCGACATCAGTTTATGTCACAACAATGGAGCTAGCCCTCTTTATGTAGCGTGTTATGAAGGACATGATAGCACAGTGCAACTGTTACTGAACAACGGTGCCGACATCAATTTTTGTGATAAAAATGGAGCTAGTCCTCTTGATATAGCTTGTCAAAAGGGACATGAAAGAATTGTACAACTGTTCTTAAACACCGGTAACGACATCAATTTATGTAACAAGAATGGAGCCAGCCCCCTTTATATAGCTTGTCAAAATGGAAATGGAAGTACAGTGCAAGTATTGCTGAATAACAGTGCGACAATCAATTATATGATTATGATGGTGTTAGTCCTCTTTACATTGCTCCTCATAAAGGACATGATAGCATGATTCAACTCTTACTGAACAACGGTGTCGGACAAGATGGGGACATTCCCTTTGCACATTCTTCTCTTGATAATCAAGTAATAGACATGAAAGCAGAGTGCTTTTTATTCAATTGTGCCGTATGATATTTTGAGTTAAATTTGCCATATTTCTTTTTTATTCAAGCACTTCATCATCCCGTTGACTACTTTTTTTGAAATCCGGGTCTTGGGTCAGGGTTAGAAATATGTTGTCTTACATACAATTGTATCAGTTGTTCTCCGGTACATTGTTGAATATACATGAAACATGTTAGTTGGAAAATATATACATGCAATTTGTATTTGTTTGAATAATATTTGCGAAAAGAATTTAATGTAATTTTGATTTTCTATCTTTCAAATTATTTTATTTGCATGTAATTGGCTGCATGGAAATAGTAATTTAAATTGTAAATGAAATGATATGATACATTATTATACTTCTGTTAAAATGTTTCCTATATAAAGTTCAGAAGGTAAAGTAACTATTCCTCATAATCTGAAAATTTCCCCGCATAGAAATCTATAACCCGGGGTATAGTTTTTGCTACCCACCCCTTGGAAAATTTTCATGCAATTTTTGACGCCAATTTTAATTTTCAGAGTTAAATCCATAGCCTGATGATGTCATAATGGCTTCAGTAGCATTGTGACGTCATCAGGATTTCAGCTCATTTTTTGCAGTATTATCTAAATCCAAAGAAAATTCAAACCTTAGAAATTATAATATACATCAGTATAATAAAACACTTATCCACTGGTTGTGAGTGGGATAGCTCTTTCATCAAACCCTTGACAGGAACTATTCCCCGCGGGCAAGCCCTCGGGGAATAGTTCCCTGTCGCGGGTTTGATAAAAGAGCTATCCCACTCACAACAATTGGATAAGTGTATACTATACACCTAGAGGTTATGCAACCTGAAATGTGGTTTGGAGAATTTAAAGCGTTTGAATAATATAGAATAAAATTAACACGAAAACTTTATCATTTCAGTAAGGTCCCCATCCCCAAAAGAAAGGGCCTGCAAAAAGTTAGATAAGAATTAGTTCATGCATAGTACAATTAGACGCATTTCGTGTTCTTATTGATTTTCATATTTGCTCTTCTTAACATGCCTCTTTAAGAAATTAAGCAACTTGCACTCAATAAGTTAACAAAATGACTCTTGAATATTGAAATCTGAATTTCATTGTACGTTTATTTCTTTTGACAAAAAGACAACCAAAAAAAAACATTTTATATATTTTTTTTCAATAAACCTCAAGCAGCTAGATTACATGAAATTCTGTAGAAGAAAGACGGTTGTGCCGTCATGCTTTCCCTGATATTTTATTTCCACCTAGACCGCACTAGTTGTATACGTCAAGGATTCATCATGGCAAGGAGCTGGTGGGATTGCGCGATCCAATAACTTGCATTGCCTTTAATACCTGTTAAGTGTCACAGCGATGTGTCTGAATGATTTTGTGGTTATATGTTTAATGTATTATACGTCTTTTTTTATATTTTCCAATGATATGCCCATGTGTTTAACAGTCTGTAATCAGTATTGACAGAAGATATTCGGACTGTTATGTTGATGTATATGTAGCTAACATACATTTATTATTTTGCAGATATCATCAAATTATTCTACGTAATTAAGGTTTGTATTTATAGTGTATACAAACTTATGTTATTTTTTATGTAATTTTTGAGTTAATGGTGCATGTATTTTTGGAGAGAGGTAGAAATTTATTGTCCATTTAATTCAATTTTCAATTATTTTCGTCTTGTGAAGCCATTGCCAGATTAAAGTTTCTAAAACCTGTAGATGGTTTCGAGGTCATTTGTCAAGCATCAGTACCATAATGGTACTGAAACTAAATAGAGGTTATTACTTTAAAAGAACTCCCATTGCTTGGTTTTATGTCTGAGAAGTTTCAAAATACCTCAACAGAGGGAGAAGCTACTGGTGGAGAAACTAAGCCTTAAATCCACTTCTGAGAATATCTCCACATCTCATATTACCCATCTATTTTAGTCCTCTCTGAATCAAATTCAAATTGGAGCACATGGGTGGCCCATATCTCGAAACAGAATTTTTCAGAAAACTTTATTTGTGTAATATATAGAGATAATGCATGGTATTCAATCTTAAAAAATCCGATTAGCATAAAATAGGAGCAAATACGGACCTCCAAAACATTAGAGATGATATCAGGTGCTATAGAGGAGAGAGCATCCCCTGCCTAACATTAAAGGACAAATGGATGTAACTTTTGAAGTAGAAGATCAAAAATATAAGATACGGTTTTTAAGTTCAATCTTTAATCTATCTTGATGCAAAGTTATGACTTTGAGAGGTGGAATACAAAAAAGTTGATTTAAGGACAGATGATACAAACATTTTTTTTTCTTTGAAAAAGATTTAATATCATGTCACAAGTTTAGAAAAGGGGATTGTTCTTAGAATTTTTTTTAAGAACTGGATATATGTTACCATGGTGCAAAAAGTGTAAAATAAACTTTTTAAAAAATATACCAAGCCAGGTGAATTTTTAGAGTAGGATCAAAATGACAAAAAATTAGCAATATCACTTAGGCTAATTTTTACCATTTAGCTTTTCCAAATAAAATTCACCTGGCTTGGTATATTTTTCTTAAGTTAACATTACACTTTTAGCACCAAGTTAACATATTCTGAAATATGTTTTCACCTGTAAACCTTTACTGAATGTGATTTGTCTATATTTGTTTTTTCATTGAAATATTACTTATATTTTCCAAGTTTGTTTCATTTTCCAGTTCTTCGAAGAAAATATTCTAGGAAACGTCCACTTTTCTAAACTTTTCTAAACTTGTAACATGATATTAATTCTTTTTCAAATAAAAAATTGTTTGTATCATCTGTCCTTAAAAAATAGAAATGCACTTCATGAGGGACGTCCAACAACAAACACACACCTGTATTCCTATCAAATCAAGATGTCCTGTGAAAAATCATACTGTCGCTTTGTAACTATTGCAATATGTAGCCATCTTCACTTCACACAATGTCGTCAATCGGAAACCTTGTTAATGTCAACAATATGTACCAAGACGAGCCATTTTTCCGCCTGCATATTGGACAAGTCCGCACATTCAGGGGTGGATTAAAAAACATGTATACAGACAGTGAGTCAGTCAGACAGACAGACAGAAGAAATTTTAATATTTTTTAAGCTGGGGTTTAAATTATAAATTGGGTTTTATACAGACAGAAGAAATTTTAATATTTTTTGAGCTGGGGTTTAAATTATAAATTGTGTTTGATAATTATTTTTTAAAGACAAATTAAAAATTTAATACGTGAGTTGTGAAAATATATTTGAAAACCACTCTGGTTTGCTTGACCTAGGAATAATATATGTCTATTGATTTTGAAAAGTCTTGAAGATACTTTAATTTTTTTTCATTTTCATTTTCCTCAAGCATACTTAGTGACAAGTATAGTTCAATATTTAAGTTTGCCTCAGAAATAAAGATCAGCTAAGAGCAAATACGAATTCCTAAATATTGGAAGTGGGATCAATTGCCATGGCGGAGCCTTGTGCTCTCGTCTGTCATGGCCGCCAAAAAAGTAAAAATCCGTAGACAATCAAATGTGTTTACAGAGGCCTAGCAATTAAAATGATAAAGACGGTCAGCATTCGACGATAGATTGTAATTACTAACATGACACGGCCACAATTTATATAATAGTGTTGTTTTTTGCGTGCACTATGCCTAAATATTAGTCAGGGTTTGACACATGGTGCATGAGCCGGAGGCGAGTGTGTTAAACCCTGACTACTATTTAGGCATAGTGCACGCAAACCACAACACTATTGTTATTTTTATGCTGATTGTTGTATAAAAATGACAATATTTTCCCTATTTTCAATATTTCACCACCTTTCACATTCATGTAAATACAGCCCTATTATGACGTCATGTTGTGCTACATATACGTCATAATCTGTTTACTTTTATTTTGAATATTCCAAGCATTAGAGATAATGAACATATAGTTTTGTGGAATTATGGTTTAGTAAAGGAGGCAAAATGCGAGAAATTATTTGAGAAGAAATATTTTTGTTATTTTTCTTCTTTAATGTTAAAATATTTGAAAATAAGTTTATATATTATATATTACATTACAATAAAAAGGATAACGGCGTCTGTGGCGTAATCAGTAAGGCGTCGGACTGACAATCTCGAGATTGTGAGTTCGATCCCCGACGTGGTCGCAGTCGGGTTTTCTTCGGAAAATGGAGCCGTGCACTATTTCGGCATAGTATGCTTATGCTATGTTAATCCTTAGAACACTATTAAACAGAATAGTATGTGTTATATAGACACAAACTGACAGGAAGCAAAATAATACATCACTCAAGAATAGTTGGTTACAATAACATTTTAGGATCCAGTTTTGATATGGTTTCGAATATTGTATCCAGTAACTATTTGCGGGTGTATGTTTTACTTATTCCTTTGAATACTTTTATGACGAGTAGGTTTACAACTATTTTATATAATATCAAATACATCCATTGAAAATATAATGATAATATACAATAAGTCGAACGAGACAATTTGACTAACTTTGACGTCATACGACGTCAGGGAACTCGTAGGAGCTAACGAAGAAAGCTGAGCGTCTGGTATAAACTATAGACCTAGTGCAAATTTTGACAGTCATTCTATACGAGTTTTTTTCTTGGTTCTTTAAAGATTTTTGCGAACAAAAGCCTTTTATGTTTTATTTTATTTATTCGTTCGCCATTATCGCATGCAATGCTGGTTACAAAGGAATTCTGGAATCGTTTCACAAAAAAATTTTCTTGACGTTTGTACAGATTTTGTTCCGAATTTCCTCAGTTCTTACACGTTAGTCTATTGATTTCGCTTGGCGACGCTCGCTACCCTTGCTTTAATGACATTGTATTTCTACATGCAATGTGGGTAGAAATTAAATCAAAATTGAAAGTTCTTAGAATCTCGTAAAAATAACTGCTTTCGATGCCTTTGCACTATCATATGTCATATATATTTTATTACAAAGAATTGAATCCTCTCAGTAGGGTTGCGACTTGCACACCAAAATCGGACTGTGTTCTACCATTTTCCTATTACAATCATGTGATCCAAATATTATTCTTTGAAATTTTAGTTACCTTGTGACATATCCAACACTATGTTTCATCTTTAGTAGATTAGAAGTTGCCAAAATGCAATAAAAATTATTAAATAGTTAATGCATTTGCAAACCATTATACAGAGTGACATTATGAAATGAGTTACATGTAGAACGCAGTACACCGGCAAAGAAATGCATCCATTTGACGAACATTCCTCCCCCGATCACGTCCGTGGTTTGTACAGAGTCAGCCGAAGATTGCTGATTGCATTCCAAAAGATGATGTTCATCTTACTTATTAAGGTGACTTACAGGTATACAAGATCCTACTCCTGTCAGACTCAGATGAAGTTTACAAAAGTTTGTAGAAACATTCTTGGATTTTCTTTCCGGAAGAGAAGACAAATATTGTCAATATTGTAATGCACATGATATGCTTTAATGAGGTAATGATCAACACTTTGTTTTGCCGTCTGGAAGTGAACTATGACCTTTACACCATGTCTCTGTATAAACAAATACAACATCAAGATAGCGACCATCCCCTAGCTTACGTGACTCGTAAGCCAATTGTGAGTGTTCGACGTATCCTCCTATCTCTTTGAAAAAGGCTCGATAATTTGCCAGATTTTCCTTTCCTTTAGTCCAATCAAATCTTGGTCCTGCCCAAGCTCGATATTCAATGGTCCATACATCAACGGTTATTTGTCTAGAAATCAACGTCTCTCTCATGCTGTTTAGCACCGCCATTTCTCCGCCTTCTACATCCAATGAAAAGTAATTAATGTGGAAAACACCTATTAATTGTAAAACATCAATTAATTGAAAACAAGGTACTTTGGTCCTTTCGTACCCTTTCAATTGAATTACATGACTCTTCGCCATGTCTTTTTCAGAACCCCCTAGTTCATCCCCTTCTATAAACATTGTTTCATTTTCATGTGCCACACATGCGCAGAGACGCCAGGCGTTGCGTTTTACACGGTCAATGAAGGGACATGATACTGGGTTTCCTTCTATCAGCAACCCTGTCCAATTATGTTTTCTCTCCAACCATAAAGTATTGGAATGAACCTTACCATCGTAAGCCCCCATTTCAACGAAAAATCCGTTTTTCTTTGGAAATATGTTATACACAGCTGTATCTTGACCGGCTTGGGAGTAATGTTTGTCTACTGATTCAGGAAACGGACTGCTTGTATGAGGCTTTCGCAAATGCTTCCAAATTTTTGAAGAAATGACATTTATTTCTGACTTTGGAGTGGGTTTCATTTGTTGTAATGTGCTACCAATTGATGATACATTTCGTGTTACAATGACGTTTCGTACAAATTTGAAATCACGTTCCAAGTCTATGTCAAAAAAGAAGGAACTGAACTTCATGAAGACAAGGCATAAGAATCCAAATATGAATAGGAAAATGGCTTTCCTATGCTGGTTGCACTTCATTGTGGATAGTACTTAACTCCAAGGAAAATGAAAATAACCTGCAATTTAATCATTTGTTTTAGTCATTTTTTAAATCGGTTGTTATTTCTTTCACATTAGAGTGCATTTTGACAAAATACTATTATGCCCTGCGACACTTTTATAATAAACTATTTTATTAGTAAATATAACTAGACAATTTTATCATTAGCTTAAAAGAAATCTTGTATCAAATAAAACAATGTCTTCATCACATATTTAGTACTCTAAAGTTCAATTTATTTACATGTATTTCAAGAAATATAATCAGAACATTAACTACCTTTACTGTGTTTTTATAATCTACACCATCATAACCTTACCTTCCATTATATTCTATGGAATGTACTCTTATCAAAATCTTTCCGTTGACATGTATGTGCATACATGTATATGCAGTTTATTACAACCAAAAGTTACAAAATGTACATCAATAAATATTCATCCTTTCCAATTTTCAAGATGTCCCATTTTATATCAAAAGACAAGATTAAATTGAATCTTATTATTTTACATCGACGAAAATATTAATCCGCTCCTTATCTTTAAAAGAAATAGTAATAATAATTCAGATTTTCTGTATATATCATGAATTCACATACGTACACATTTACTGCATTGATTCAGGTTCAATGATTGCTAAAGCCAATTTAAGGTATCCACGCCTTCATAAAATCCATTTTTGAGGTGAAAAGATTCATTAATTCATAGATCCCGGATCCTTGAAGATCATAAAATAGGTTTTCATCCACAGCAGTGACAGATGTCGTAAAAAAATATCATTTTGGGAAGGACGTACCGTGTATTTCTCTCAAACTTGTGCATACGCTTGTGCATCTTTCAATCAATAAAATTTGTTTACAATTTTATATGGCTATTTTTCTACAATTGTTGAGGACATGCCATTATGTATTTATTAATCTTTTGTGAAAATGTCCAGTAGTATTTCTATAGAACTTAATCTGCTTGGACCTTTAAATCTATAAATGAAAGTCCGTACACAAACTATGTATTGGGAGTTTAAAATGGTAAACCAAAATATAAAGTTAAATTTATCCATTGAATTAATCTCTAAGCAAGTATTACAGTCAATATCAAGTTTTGTATTTAATTGTTTTCATTTCTATGAAGATTAAATTTATTGCAATAATTTACTATGTTATCGTTACCTTATTTATGCCGCAGTCACACTTTTGATACGTTTCAATAATAACTTATTTTAAAGATATGCATTTGTTTTTATAGAAATGAAAACTCTCTTAGAATTTATTTTTATCCAGATATATTTTTCTCTAAATTAAATGATCGGGTGCTAGGCAGCATTGAATTACAATCTAATGAGATATCTTGATGATTACTTTAAAAACACAACTTTTGCGTAACATTGGCAACAAGTTTCCGTTTCAGATTTGCATTCTTGGGTAATTTTTTTTTTCAATCGAACATGAAAACTTAGAAATGTGGAATTGCATATACGATAGACAACTGCTTACTGATAGCTGCTTTAAATTGAACCCCTTTCTCTTCACAACTTGATTTTCTTTAGGTAAACACGACATCCATTTATTTATTCTCTCCTTATGAAAATGTTGAAGAACGTTTCAAGAAAGCAAACTCCAACTTATCTTTTATAATTAAGAGAAAATTAATAAAATGTTTAAGAGTTAACATTTTATTAGATCAACATTCTTGCTTTTTTGATTAGTCAAACGAAAATGAATATAGAGCATAAACAACAAGATTGCTCTAGACCATGTAACACTAGTATTTTATAAGTTTACCAAATATTGTCGATGTTTAAAAACATTTTATGTAATTTTTACCGGGTGTGAACATGCGTTAATTATAATGTTGGAGTGAATGTCATTTATCTTTGAGATTCAATGAAAATTGTGACAAGGTCTGGATGACAATCACTTCATTTAATGCATGCATGTTATAGCTACAAACATTTTTTTATATTGCATTTACAAGTGCAGCTTAAGTAGCTTTCTTTAGTTTTTTTTTTTAGTTTTTTTTAAGTTTTAAAAGCTTTAAATATGTTTTAGGCATTTTGTTCCTATTAAGTTTTTCACTCACAAATTAACAGAGGAAAATAATGCATATATTATATTTTTCGTTTGTCTTCATAATCTTATCAAACGGTAAACAAAAGTTTTAACATTTTGCATAGAATTAAGTTTAGAACAGAAAACAAATACATGTACTTATATATGAATTGACAAATGTTGCTAAATAAACTCTCATCAACGACAAACTGTTCCATTTTATTTAAACTCTAGAAATTCTGAACTTAACAAAGTTGGAAGCTTTGTTACATTTTAAATGTCTGTGTACTTTCAATAGTATATTGTTGTACCTATTTAAATCCTTATAAATGACATTTCAAATTGCAATGGATTTTTTAAACTGCAAAGGAGAGTGCATTTTGGTCGATTTAAAATAAGTGTGAGCTGCTTTCAATTACAACTCTTTTTAAGGACGGGATATAAATTGTATCTTTTGAAATCAGTTTTTAAAAATCAAGAGAGTTTTAAAAGACTCATTGCTAAAGGTGGAAGACTCTTAAATCGTTCCAAATATTTGACTTTAAGCAATATTAAGCGCTGTCATGAAATCGGTTGACTTATATATCTTTATTATCAGTCTGTATTCAATATTCTTATTATTTTGGCCATCAAGAAAGAAATATGTGTAAGGTATTCAGTGATAACATATGCATAACAGAATTCAAAAAATATCAACAAATGAAACAGTCATTTATATCTGGAATATTGAATTAATTATATATTTTTAAACCAAATCGATCAGACAATATCAATATATTTAAAAATGTTGCACTAAGATTAATGATCCACACTCGGGATTAGGGAACATAACTACGTCTAGTTTGAATTCTATCAAAATATGTAATGACTCAAGAAGGAATTGGGCTATAATGTTTATTTAGGTTCATGTATGTCACTTTTATATAATGTAAGAACAATATATCACTTTGATGCCTCAAAACACATATTTCAAAAGTCAATTTTAAAATGAAAGTAAACCTGACTCCATCAAGGCGAACATAAAAAAAAGTTTTGAGATCTATGAATGCATTAAACTTCATTATTTTGAAGCCTTTAATCAAGTCAAATGAAACAATTATACAACAAATATTTCTGTACTTTTTTATTTGAAAAACGCTTTGTTTTAGTAAAAAAAACTAATTTAAATGAAAAGGACTTAAGCATATTGGAATAACACAGAACATTTCTTCGATTTAATTCAATAGGGGTTTATAAAGGATTCATAAAGTTACGCCTTGTGGAGTGCACTGAATCTTGTTTCGAAAGTATCTCCAATTGAGACATTTCCCATTGGGTTGTGTACTTTAATTGTCAACAGGAACATAAAATTAACCATGTCCCGACGTACGCGGACTATTTCGGTTGTAAGAGCAGCCTGATTAAGATCTGAGTTCTACAAACAGCCACAACGTAATTCCACATGAATGAGCCCCTGCGTTGAACAATGGCATATGTACAATAACATACACCTCTTGCGTAAGAGCCCGGAGGTACAACCACACAAATGCATGTACACACACTCATCCTCACACTCACATACACATCCATCATGAGTACTATCTCAAAACACCAATCCATTCATCATACTGGTTCACTCTGTTCATGATGTGTATTATTAACTGAGTGTTACCATGTCAGGGGAAAGTCCATGAAATCAGATTCAAAGCACTTCATTTTGCATTTGGTTTGGATCATATCTTTCTATAAATATTAAATTTTACAAAAAGGATGTCGTCATGGTGGGTATGGGACTCAGGTAGAATACAATAATGAAATACTAATACATTTACCGGTCGCTGATACGCTTAAGACAAAACAAGAAAAATATTAATTCAAGCACTAATAAGCTGTTTCTTTTATATATTGATTTCATAATATTATTCATTTGTATTCATTTATTGTACTATTTTTTACATGAATATATATTTTTAAGGTATTTACTTATTTATCTTTTTATTTTCTTCTTATATCCATTACTTTATTTTTTATTTTACCGAGGTTGGTTCCTGATATTTAAAGTAAAACTTTTTGTCAAGTATATTTTTAATTTCTACTCACAAAGCTTGATGACAAAACAAATAAAAAAATAGGGGGGGGGGGTTAACCTGCTTTTTTTGGCGCTTCAGAACACTAAATTAGACTTTTCTGCACGGAATTTTGTGTCTTTATCAAAAACTACTTCTTCGACGTTTTACCTCCGATAGTTTTATCCAAATAATGCATGGAACAGAATAAAGTCTAAGGAGACACTTTAAAATGGTTACTTAGAAAAAGTATCAAATCGTTTCGCATAATGAATGATTTGACCTTCCTGAACTCTCAAATTGTGATTTTTCTGGCATTGAAAATTTCATATGGAAGAAAATTATTTTTAGGTCCTAATTTTTTGCCGAATTTGAGCAGATAGGTCAAAGTTATATTTAGAATGAACATTTAAAGTGGGGGTATATATTGTAATTTTCAAATATTAGTAAAAATGTGTCTATTTTGTGTAAAAATTAGATCAGTTTTTTCCTGGACTTTTAGAATGTACATGTTTTTAAAATATTTACCATAATTTGTTAAAAGAACTCATCAGAAATAATTAAATAGATATTTCAGAACCAGGATAACAAATCATTGCAAATACAGTTTTGTGTGCAACCAGCATGGAAAAATAGGAAGCTGCAATTAACAATACTGTTTATACACCTTTAGTACAAAAGGGAAAGATTGATCATTTCTAGTAAAAGGTCCGCCAAAAAATATAGTTCCTGGCTTAATCCAGCTTAAATGGAATTTAATCGCGGTTTTTTCATTGAATATATATTCCTATTTGCATTGTAGAATACAGATTTAATTTTAGAACTTAAAAAATGATGCAAAATTAAAAAAAAAACGGTCCAGACAAAATCTGCTCATGAGCTTTGGATCGAAACACCTTAAATGTCAATAAATGATAAAAGATATACCATAATTTTATTCTAGGCATTTGTGAATAATTTTCCTTAATGTATTTTTTAATTGGAATAGAAGAAAATAAAATAAAAATGACAAAAACGTTAACCTGAAATTGTAACAAAATTTAGGGAGTATATTACTTTATCTAAACTGCGCAGTAAAAGAAACTGTATACATGAAATGTTATAACAGAGAGAGAGAAAGAGAGAGAGAGGGGGGGGGAGGGAGGGAGAGAAAGAGAGAGAAGACAATATTTGTTAGGACAAGAACAATGAAACTTATATTTCATAAGTTCTTTCAAATTTTAAGAAATATTTTTTTTCTTAAGGCATTCTACCCATATTAGGATTAACTTTTCTGACCATATATATTGATGTTTAAAAAATACTTTTTATCATATCAAGACATTTTATATAAGGAAAGAGTTTAACAATAGAATGAATTTTTCGAATAATTATTATGTAAGCAGAAATTATTTAATGAACATTGCATAAAAGTCTAAGGAAATGAGTAAAATTTTAATCATAAGTAAATTGACTATCACAAATTGCCACGGTGAAAATATTTATTTGATCATTGGGACTAGAAAAACAAAACTATTTTTTCATCAAACAGTTTTTTTTAAATTGATTAATTGACTTAATGTCAGACGACACGTTCCTCAATATTATCTAATTTTTCCTAAGAATTTGTCATTGAAGTATAGGTACTTTATAAAGTTTCCTCACAAAAAACTAGGGTACCTTACCAGGCATTTCGCCAAGAAACCATAGGGTCATATTTCTTATATTACCTATATGGTAAATATTCTAAATGGCCTATAACACAATTTTTGGTGTACTTATAATTAAAAACTCTTTGAAAACAATGGAAAAATTAGGAGAGAATGAAAAATATGTATATTTATCTTACGTTCAAATGATATTTTTAGATTATCAAAGCCAAAATGAAAGTAAAAGTTTTCAAATATGGCAAGCTTAATTATGTTCTCTATAATGGCTTTAGTATTTGGATATACTCACAACTGCAAAAACCATAAAGCCTTCAATTAATATATGCTTTTTAAAATTTACGAAATCGTATCTTATGTTTTTTAAATAAAAAAAGAGATTATTAAGCTAATATTTACTAAAAAAAGAATTAAATAAAGAGATTTAGAATGGTCACATATTTTCAAGAATAATACCTTGATATTTCTGGTGCTTTCTTAGCTCCTCGAGGTTATATTCCGGGACTTGGTTCAGTTGGATTTCCATCTGCAGAGGAAAACACCTTACGAGGATGCTTGCTTCACCTAGAGTGAGAATGCATTCATCTGCCCCGAGGTTGCCATCTCCTCGGTGAAGTCGTCTGTTTGTCCATGTCGAGGACAAGACACTGTCCCTTGACTCCTTACAGTTGGTTTGTGCTCCATCGAAGACACCTGGATCGGACATAGGGCATATGTCTGGTCAAGCAGATCAGGCGCAACTGATTACCTCCAGGGAGGTGGAGTCCAGTAGTACCATAGAAGTACTTTTTTCGCGTGGTTTTAATTTACTATATTTCCGGGATCACAAATTTCCCGCGGAAATTTGTCCAAGTGTACTTAATATCAATGTAAGGCATATAGTGACAGTCTAGGAAATCCGCGTTATTTTTTTACTCGCTTATTAAACAGAAATTGAGATTCCGCGGAAGAACTGCGAACGATAGTATTGTTCTCCCGCCTACCTCCAAGTCAATTTTTAAAAGTTAACATATTCGATTAATTTTTAATATTTCTTATAGATAATTATATGGATTTTCATAAAACATTACTTATTTGGGAAAACAAAGAGAGATAACTCTAAATTTTTTTTTTTTTTTTTTTTTTTATTGAAACTTTCACACATATTACAAACAATACTTTCACACATATTACAAACAATACAAACTTCTGTATGGATATATGTACAATCAAAATCAAACAAGACTAATTATGGTTGGAACATACAAAGTTTATGAAGAGAGAGAGAGAGAGAGAGAGAGAGAGAGGGGAGGGGAGAGACGCAGGTAAGCATTACATATTGTGCCCTAAAACATATTCAGTTTTCTAAAAGCTTACCATATGAAATTTAAAAAAAAAAAAAAAAAAGAAGAAGAAAGAAAAGGGGGAAGCTAAAGAAAGACTAGTGCAGTGCAGTTTTGAGGGATTTTCTAATAATTAATATTTAAAAAATTGAAAAAAGAACTGATAATAATAATTACAAAGAAGGTAAATAATTAATTAAAGTTTAACAACCCACTTCTGCCAGAAAGTATTAAAATCCGTCAGTTTTTTATCCTTTATTATGGTGTGTTTTAAAGTTTTAAAATATGAATTAAATAAATTTAAAAGACCTTGGATAGATGGACAGGTATTCTGACAACGAACTTTATAAATATAATGCTTCATTAATATCAACATAGTGTTGAAGTATTCTGGATTTTCATTTTTATCTTTTTCATCAAAAATAAATGATTTTGCATTGAGATTCAATTCAATGTCTTTGGCTTGACATAAACGTATGAATTTTTTTAAGAATTGCTGAACAACATTACATTCCCAGATTAAATGATAAATTGTTTCCTCTTCATCTTCACAAAAAGTACAATACTTAGTGTCCGATTTACCTATTTTATACATGAGACTATTTGTAGTTAGAATATGATGATTAACTTTGTATTGAAACCATTGTAATTTACAATCCCGTGTCACGAGGAATGAAAGATTATAAATTGTTTTCCATTGTATATCAGTTATTTCAAAATATCTAGCCCACTTATTTTTACCAGAAGGTTTGATAACTGGCTTATTTAAAATATCATACATAGGTTTTGATCCTTTCCTGGTATTGATAAATATTTTGATATTAAAAGGAATCATTGGTCTTTGCATTAATCCATTTCTATAAAAATTGTATTTCTTTAAGTCTGCTAGTATTGTCTGTCTAATACCATTGTATGTCACATAATTTATTTTAATTTTAAATTTATTTTGTAGATCCTCTAATGATAGAAAATTGTTATGTTCATCTAGTAGATCTAACACATGAGTAATACCATTTTCATACCACAATTTATAAAAGACAGATTGTTTTCCAATTTTAAAATTTTTATTCAACCATAAAGGTTGGTTTACATATTCATTCCAGTCTGTAATTTCAGAATTATCTTGGATTTCCCGAAAAGCTTTGAATGTATCCTTCCAAAACTGATTGTGTAAACACTTATTAAAGTTTGATAAACATACTGACCCTGTATTTATTAGTTTGTTAGTATCAATTATATTTTAAAGCAAAATTTTCCATTGGGAGTTTTTGTCATTAAAAATTCTCCTTATCCATGTTGATTTCAAAGCTTTTATATAACAGCCAATATCAATCATTTTTAAACCACCATGTTTATATTGCTGTGTAACAACATTTCTTTTAATTTTATCAACATTTGATTTCCATAGAAAATTGAAAAGTATATTGCTCAAGTTTTTCAGAAAATTAATTTGTGGGGTTGGTAAGGATATAAATAAATGGTTAAGTTTAGATACAAGAAGTGATTTGATTAGAGTTATCCTCCCAATCGGTGTTAAGTTTCTTTTATTCCACTGATCTATAATTGATTTGATTTTAACAAGTTTTTTTGTCATAATTTAATCTAGTAATCTTTGCAAGATCTACATAATAAATTCCAAGAAGTTTAACATTGGTTGTCCAGATAAATTCCATCTCTGGGCAAACTTTGTCATTAGAATATTTCTTACTACCTATCCATACCACTTGGGTTTTTGACCGACTTATCCTTAGTCCTGACATATTATAAAATTCTGTTATTTCCTTTATTAAAGCCTGAAGTGATTTTTCTGACCCATCTAAAATTATCATTGTGTCATCAGCATACTGTGACATTAAAAATTCAGTATTTCCTATTTCAATTCCTTTTATGTCTTTATTGTTTTTAATCTTTATTGATAATATCTCTGCGCAAAGGAGAAATATATATGGTGATATTGGGTCCCCTTGTCGACAGCCGCGTCCTAATTTGAACAAGTTGGATAAAAAACCAGCCTGGGTCACACATGAATTTCAATTACATTGAAAAGTTTTTATCCATTTACAAAAAGATTGTCCAAAATTGAAAAAATTTAGGGTTTTTTCTATAAATTTCCATGACACTGTGTCAAAAGCTTTTTCAAAGTCTATCATAACTAACATTCCAGGGATTTGCTTTAATTCAGTATAATCCATCAGATCGTATATAAGCCGTGTATTTTCTCCAATATATCTCTCAGGTATGAATCCTGTCTGATCTGAACTTATTTTTTTAGGTAAACCTTGATTTATTCTTTGTGCTATACAACCTGATCCAATTTTATAAATCACATTCAACAATGATATTGGTCTCCAGTTACTAAGCTGAAATTTACTTTTGCCCTCTTTGGGTATACATGTAATTATTCCCTGTTTTTGTGTGGAGGAGAGTTCCCCATTTTCATAACCAAAGTTTAATGATCGAACAATAAAATGACCCAGATTTTTCCAAAATACTTTAAAAAATTCTGCAGTAAATCCATCACTACCCGGGCTTTTATTATTAGACATTTGTTTTAACACATTTGATGCCTCTCTATAGAAATCTTTCCTTCTAATAGAAAACTTTCATGTTCATTTAACTTTGGGACATTATACTCTTCTAAAGACTCTCTAAGATTTAAATTATGATCCTCTTCTTGAGGCATGTATAATGTTTTATAAAAATTTTCCACTTCTAAGAGAATTTTACATTGTTCTGTTATCTCCACTTGTTCATTATTTTCTGTTTTAATAAGTTTAGGAATTACTTTGTTTGTAAAATTTCTATTCTCAAGATTTAGAAAATAATTTGTTGGTTTTTCGCCATCACTGATCCATCTAACTCTAGACCTTATCACATTTCCCATCAATTTATGTTGTCTTATTAGTTCTAATTCTCTTTTTTTTTCTCAGTTAATTTTTCTATAGAAGACGCATATTCTTCTTCTAGTTTCAAAATATCCTGGATTAAAACTTTTTCTCTCTGTACATTCTTTTTTTTAACATAACTTCCATAAGATATTGTTTTAGCTCTTATTTCCATTAAAAGCGTCTCAAGAAATAATTGATCATTAATAATTAAATGAATTTCAGAGTTTGGTATTTCATCTATAGAATTTTCTACGTATATTGGAACAGCGTATTGTTTTTTAATTACATTAATGTGATTGTTTATCAGTTCAATATAGTCAGGATCCTTCAAAAGAGAATTGTTGAATGTCCATAAACCTTTCCCATGCTTTATTTCATTAATTTTAAGATGTAAAACCACTGCTGAGTGATCTGATCTATAGCTTCCTAAGATGTCACAATTTTTTACACTATTTAGAAGAGAGTTGGAAAGAAGTATGAAGTCTAGCCTTGCCTGTTTTAAGGGATTAGATTTCCTCCATGTAAATCTTTTGTCATCAACATGATATTCTCTGTAAATGTCCACTAAATTATATGTGTTCATTATCTCAAGTACTACTTGTCTTGCCCTAGGGTTATTCACATGCAAATAATTAGAATAGTCCTTAGCTGGATCTAAAACTAAATTGAAATCTCCATTAATAATGACCTCATTATTTAATCTAGAAATCAAATTGGAAATATTTTCAAAAAAAGTTGGACAGTCATCATTAGGTCCATATATAGTTATCAATGTAATTTTTTTTTTCTTCTATAGTAATCTCTAATGCCAAGTAGTTACCAGAGGTATCTAAAAACTGATCATGAACCTTGAATGAGAAATTATTGTTGAAAAAAATTGCAACTCCTCTTGAATTCGACATATAGGAACTAAAATAAGCTTCATATCCCCACTCATTTCTAATGATTTGTTCGTTTTCTTTTATAAAATGAGTGTCAATAAGACACAGAATACTACAATTTTTTTGTCGAAAGTAGTGAAAGACATCTTTTCTTTTCATTGCATCATTTAAACCTTGACAGTTGACAGATATTATTTTAATTTCTGACATATGGATATATGTTTTTTTTTAATTATCAAAATTCTGCAAATTGTGTCAATTCCCTCATTATTGTACGCGTATACAGCTGCACTGCACAAAGAATTAGAAAAGTAAAGTAAATAGAGAACCCACGTATAGAAAAGATTCATTGACAATTTTGTGCACTTTAAATTGGTCGAAATTTAAAGAAAATTAAAGGTCAAATATTTAAAAAAAATTGTAGCATTGTCATATATTTCCCAGTTAATGTTTACCTCACTATGTCACTGGATGTAAAGATAGGATACTAAATAAAGAACCATGCAATCATACTGTATAGTTCCGGAAAAAAAACGGATTTAAAAGTTCCGAATTGGTGGCTCGGTTAAAGCCCTATACATAATGGAGCACTAATATACAGTGTATACCTAATCCACATCCACTTGATTTGCAATATCACTGACGTGCTCTTCCATAATACGAAAACGTTCCTGCCCAAGGAAGGTACGACCATTCCATCTCGTAACCACAATTCCGACGTTAACTATTTCGTTAGATTGCATGTTCTTCAACAGGCGGCGACCTGCCCCATGTTCACCTCCATCCCAGTAGCTTTCCTGTAACTTTCCTGAGTTGTCTATGAATCTATAAACTAAGATGCGATGATCTGCCTCCGCCGAAACAGGGTCAATGCTCACTTTTTTATGAAGCTCATTCACCTCCTCTATCGCATGAATTTTTCTTCCCGTGGCAAAAATCTCGGAATTCTTTACCCTGGTCGGTTCTGTGTATACGATGTTCACATTATCCAGAGTCGCTGTTTCCTCCGGACCGATCTTAAGCGCATCTGCTATTTCCAGCTTTGGAATAGGGTCCTCATATCGATGTCCATTCGACATAACCACACGCCCCTTTTCAATTTTACATTTTATATTTTGTTTTCTGAAGGAGTCTGAAATTTCGTGTAAACGCTTACGCTCCTCCAGAGTTGATGCTGGCTCTTCGGCTGTAATGTAGAATGGTAGTTCCACATTTTCTGCCTTTTTCTGTTTTTGAGCGCGGAGAAGTTCATCCTTTTTCCTGCCGTCCACCAATTTACCAGTGATGGATACTGGCCTTGAATTAATCGTTCCTCTTACGCTATTTCTGTCTATTCGGACAAACTTCACCTCAACCCCAAGATATTCCTTCAACATATTAGGAACCTGTTGATCTAGCTTTTCATCCGATGCGTATGCTAAATTATGAATCATAATATTGTCACGCATTGATCGCGATCTCAAGTCTGTAATTTCTGACTCCATGTTCTGCATTCTGCGGTCCATATGTATCATCATAGCACGCATTAGGTCAAGCTCTCTGCGTAAGTGTGCATTCTCTGACCTCACAAAATATAGTTCATCACTGTTGCTTTCAGATTGTTCTGCGACATACTTCAAGGAAGTTGTTAGCCCAGTTTCATGATCTTCGATCAATGACGTAATCCTTGTTAATTCACTCTCTACATGTTCATATTTCGGTAACTTTTTACTAATACCCTGCAACGTTTTCTGTACATTTTTAAGACCATTTTCTATAGACTCAACTTTTTCCTTTTCCTTTTCCTTTTCCTCAGCTATTGATCTTTCTGCCGATTCCTCGGGTGAACTCTCTTCAGTTCTTTTGTTCCGTGAGTTGTTTACGCGTCCACCTTTACTGGCTTTAGCTTTACCAGCGTTCGAAGACATTTTTCTGAATATAACACCAATATTCACAGATAATCACAAAGACCACACATAAATACAATCCCTGGACAAGATTTGTAGAAAATTTTGACCTACATCCACCTTAAATCGACCAACTTTACAGAGCCGACAGTTACACGTCCATGCTGACCGATCACGTGACGAACTCTAAAATTTTGGTAAAACTTGTGTTTTTCACTATAGAAATCAACGGAAAACGGAAAATATTTTTAAAACATCTCCCCCCCCCCCCTCCCCCCATATCACAAAAATTCCTTTTTACAGGTAATTTGGAATGTTATTTCACAAATTCATACCAAAGCTTTCTGTGTGACGCGGGGGGAACATATGTTTATTGACAAAAAACGATAAAAATGCTTATTTTCCACCAATTTCAAAGCGATTTACATCTGAAACATTATATTTTATTGATATATTTATGTTTTATTTATTTGTCTAAAACATTAGAAAAGATATAAGGAACATTTAATCATTTCCAAGATAATTTCAAAATATGGTGATGCTTGAAACTCCGATTTTAGTGGTAAATATAGTCTACCCCCTTTTTTTCAAGAGCTGGAATTATGGATAATTTACTGTTTAGCGCTGGTATTAAGACAATTATTCAATTACCATTGAACTGTTGTATTAAACAAAGATTTTATGGCCAAATTGCTATTTATACTGAATTAAATGGTTCCAAAATGTAGGCGGGAATTGGGAGTTAGCGTGCGTATTTCTTATGACCCCTTGGAAAAAAGTACGTCTACAATATATCAAAAGATGAGAGATTTTTTCACGAATAATACATGTAAAATGGAAACTGAACGAAAATCAAAAGGAAATTTGAATAAATACATTATAGAATCAGAAAGAAAAACAGATTTAAGGATGAATTCTTCTGATCAATTTACCCCAAGTGGGTCTTCGTACTTAGACATGTCGTAAAATTCAAACGGATAACAATTTATAAACAATTTTTTTAAGTTTTTATGATTTACATATTTGACTATATTTATTTTTAAATAAGAAATCTTTCTATGTTGTATTGATGACCAAGACGTGTGCAAAATTAGGATATTTACGACATAGGCCTAAGAAGTGAAATCGACATGATCGAGAGAGGAAGAAGACGGGATCGCCCCTTTCAAAGCGACAGGAATGCCGAAAGACACTCCGTTAAAAGTATTCTCGATAAAAGAGTCGATAGAAATTTGAAAACATTTTAAAAATCGCCGATATCGCAATTAGGCCATGTCGGAGCCCCACTCTAGCCCAGCCTAGACTTGGCTAGAGCGCCAACGTGTGTTGACGACGTTCCAGTAGCAGTGGAAAAGCGAAAATGTAGGTTTCCAGTGCTTTCAAACTTATTGAACATAGCAATGTTTATGAATTATAGAAACAAAAGTTTTAAAATGCCTGGTATACTGTCACATCGCAAACTGAAACATTGCATAAACATGTCACATACATGTACGGAACGTTTTCAGATTTGTGCAGACAACATCATTCGTAATATCCTTTTTATTGCAACTTTAGCTCGTAGCATATGATAAATTTCATTTGATATTGTAAATGCAGAATATCTATCCCAAATTTATAGACATACCGTACAAAAATAATAAGATAACATCTCTAATTTTTAGATGTTTACATTCGATAAGAAACTATGGCGGCCTATTCGGGTTAAAAAATAGAATATTTCTGAAACATCATAGAACATGTAGAAAATAGAAATTATTTGATTCTAAATTACAGGCTTGGGTTCATAAAAACAAAGTCAGATAGACAAAATAATGATTTAACATTTTTTGAACTATGAAATTACCAGTAATTATATATTTTTTCTAAAATAATTTTTTTCAGGTAAGTCTTGTTGTAAGAAGAATCACAAATGAAGAACTTTAGAAGAGACCAGGTTTTTAGAATCACGAAATCAGATGGAGAAAACCATGCAAATCAGATTGAGAAAGTGGGAGTGGATTTGACTAATCCCAGGAAAGCCACCATCCAACACCACAAACCAGAACCCAATCCAGAACTCACAGGACAAGAGAAAGAGAGGACATCTAACAGCTATAATTATGAAGTTTTATGTGTTAAATAATTACTTTTTGTTCATAAAAGCTTTTCTAAAGAAAGTTACAATTATTACCTGAAATTATTACACAAATTTTGAATATTTGGTGTATAAAACGCATAATTTGAAGCCTAAATGCCTTAATTTATTTTCATAAAATGCTGAAAAAGAAATAGGGGGTGGGGATATAAAAAATATCAAAACTTTCTTATATGTACACTAACCCCTACTTTTTATACTTTGAAAAGAAACCCAAATACGTAAAGAAACTGTGCAACAATTTTCTCAAAAAGTTTAATTGTAGAAATATGTTTTTCTCTGGTTTTTTGAGCAATTTTTATGGGGAAAAATTTGCCTAATTTTGACACCGGTGTACAACATTTTTGGGTACAAGTTATCTAATTGGTGTTTATTTGCTCATATTTTGTTAAAAAAATTAACTTTGCAATACTTTCAAGTAAATTTAAGCCAAATTAGGTTTAAATTGATTGTATTTATAAGTTTATGAGGTATTTTTATGGTCTAATAGCTACTTTAATGAAATTTCCCATGCTCTATTTTGGCCTATGTTGGAGGGGTTGTATCTCTCTTAGATGAACACTAACATACAATTTTCTTTTCTTTAAATTATTCCTTTGATATTACACTTTCAGAAAAATATAAGCATGTGGAAAGTTTAATGCATGTTTTTTTCCGTGTATCAGAAGAATACATCCTTAAAATAGAATGAGAACAATGAGAAACGTTCAATTCAGAGGATGCTGGTGAAGAGAACTCGGACGAAGGAAATGATCAGCTTTGGCAGAAATAATGGAAGAGAGGTGTCTAAGATATATGTTTCTCAGTACAGGCTTCATTTCATCAGGCTCACCCTATATTTGAAGAGTGCTGGGACACAATGTGTTGCTAATTACATGTATTTAGCAGGCTTAGCTTATCACAAACTTAGTAATTCTTAGAGCTGGACAACAATGAATATGGATAGGGTTTTGATAATAGGTGATGAATTGTATACATATCTGCAATCTCGTCAATCAGTGATAGGTTTTTGCTTGTCGAGGAAATACCACAACTCTGAATGCTTTAATCGATCATACGATTTCCATGCTATGAGTCAGTTAAAAGTGATATTATGACAAATGACTGTCTTAAACTATGCAGAGGTTAAGGCATTACCACTAGACAAATGACTTCAGGTTGCACTCACAGACATCGAAGGCTGTTTTGTATGCTTTAATGGAAATACTATGCTTATAGGATCTACAGATAGTGCCTTTTTTGCTTTTGATTCCCTTGATCGATTGATTGAATGTTATGTGTGACCAGAAAGTTTAAAAGGATTTTATCTCAAAATCTAAAGGCTAAATTTAGTGTATGTGTATCTTCAAAGTCTTGCTCTTTCAATGGGACATTCAGAGGGTGTTAAATGTAATTTGAGTTGCGTAACCTGCAAAATTGAATTTTATTGCAAATGTCATTAATTTGCTTGAGAAGAAAGCTTAAACAAGTAAAATTAAAAGTTCAGAGCTATTGGTGAAAAATAATGCGATAGGAATGATGATGTGATCTTTGTTGTTCATGAACAATTAAATTATACGCACGTTGTTATATCCCTCTGATTAAAAAACACATCTGTCAAGAGTGAAACATTTCCTTCATTTGCAGAAACAAATGCTGTTGAAGTCCATTGTTACAGAACTAACATCACAGAACATAAGGTTGAGAAGGAAATTTACGGGAATGGAAACAGCTTTTTTAGGCTATTTCATTCAGTCTTACAGACTTAGAGGATGTCCACAATATATTGCGCAAAGCTATATGTAAAAAAAATGTTGGAAACAAAGAATGGTATTAAAGCAATATGAGCTGTATGTTTGACATCGGAGATTTTTATTGCAAATTTGTGATTAACTAATTAAACGACAAGAAAATAAATCATTATAAACTTCTGTTGTTCATATTTGCGATGGAAAATTTTTATTAGCTTTGATTAAGGCAAAATTGAATTATTGTCGTCCTGTACAATAATGATTTCTTATATAAAACTGTATGCTCGGTAGTACATAAATATTTCTTCTGAAACATTTTTAAACTTTATTTTGGGCTCATTGGTCATAAGGGTTTAAATTACATACAAATTAATCATAATAGCACATTTTACCAGCAAAATAAAATTTTCGAAACACAGCTCATATTGTTTTAAATAAACCATTCATAAAAGATGGTATTCAATCTATCTCAATCTATATTTTTTTTTCATTTTTCCTTCCATTTCCCTTTTTTGAGATCCTTTGCTCGTTTAAATGTTCATTGAAATATATTGTAGCGTCACGGTAGCGATAACGACAAGTGTCTTTGGGGTATCTTGTTGGGATTTTATCTATCGAAATCCTCATAAAATTGAAGAAATCAATAATTAAACTTTGAATAAAATAAACTACAATGACTGATTCCCCTTTCTGGTTACTTTTGCTCGTTATATATCGGTATTTCTCTATTGTAATATAAATATCTGCTTAACACTAGCCGTTTTCTTGTAAAATTATATGCGTTAACATTTGGCATGACATTTATAAGTACTGTAAAAGGATGATATACAGATTCATTTAAATATTATACCATTTAACTTTTTTTCAAGGAAGAATTTATATTTAAACAAACTGAATATTATTCAGTACACTATGCTTGTGCACCTTATGCTTTAAAACATGTATAAAAGATCATAATTTAGTTCAGAGGTTTTTTTCCTTATAGAAAAAAAAAAACTTCCTCACCCACCCCCAAAAAAAAGAAAGACGTCTGATCCGATTATTTCCTGCTACAGTTATTGACAATATGAACAAAACATGCTAAATCTTTGCAACCATGTATTGGATGTTTTCACATGAATTACACTCCTAGAATCTGTAAGTATTCTAATAGG